CAAGTGGGTTTTGTGTATGTGTGTAACTATGTCAAGTGGATTCTTGTGTGTGTGTGTGTTTGTGTGTGTGTGACTGTCAAGTGGATTCTGGTATGTGTGTGATGCATTATTGTCACTCTTAGGTGGGTCCTGGTATACACACACCCACATGTATGTGAGAGTCTGTGTTGGATGTGAGAGGATATTTGGCATCTGTGTATGCCCAGCGAATCTGGAGATCTGGAAGTGGCTACAGATGCACTTGTGTGCCTGAGATCTGGCATCAGACCACCACCGTGATTGCTCACTGTGCACAGGGATGCAGGCAGGAAATGTCCCTCCCCGCTTCCCAGTCCTCTGCCCTGGCCTCACTTCTGCGTTGCTCTTTAAAGAGTGCAATCCCTGCGGGCTTTCTTTCCTTCTGCTGTCTGGGAGCAATGATCAGGCGGCCCTGCTGCACATCAGAACAAAAGGAGAAAGTGCAGAGGGTGAGGTCTGCACTCCAGAGAAAGGCAGAAACCCGAAGCACGCAGGCAAGATTACCAGCACCGGCCTAGACCTGCCTGTGGGGTCTGCAGTGTGCAGCTGTCAGTCAAGTGAGATATAAGGCTCCTGGTCACAAAGGCCATGACTTCAGAGCACCCGGACAGACACAAAGCACAGATCTGTCACAGATGTTCCCGGCACAGAGGTTCTTTGCTGACAAACACACTTAGACTTACACAAAATTCACAGAAGCAGAGGCAGGGCCACTGTGGACCCAGAAACCCAAAATAATGGGCGAAATGTTTATGAATGGGAGGAAGAAGGCTGTCCTGTACAGCCTCTTTCCAGATGCCACCCATACTGCGCCCAGATGCAGTGAGCATGGGGCAGCCCCACTCACTCTGACCCTCAGAGGCTGTTTCCTCAGGCTCAGATCCCCTGCTTTTTGACTTGAGCATTTTACATCCAGGTAGACACTTACTGTACCTGTCACCCCACATCTGGGGAGCTGGGAGAAGTGGGAGGTGGACTCGCCCTACAGCTTTAGGTGGTGAGTTGGGGAGGGAAAGGATACCAAGGACGGGCATGGAGCTGAGGGGCAGCCAAGACAAAGGCATCACCCATCAGCAGACTTGCACACACAAGTGAGCCCTTCATTACAGAAAATGGGAATTTGTTACTGAGAACACAGAGTGCTTTTTCATACTTTGGACACGTTTACACATGCACTGCCGTAATGAACGGAGGCTCTGTGGTTGGATTACGGCGTTGAATCACCGAGCCCTTACATCTGCATAGCACCTTAAATCTCAGCATGCAAACTAGACGTTTGCTCATCTAAGACTCTTGAAGTGTTGTTTTTTTTTAACAGTAATGAGATTTGTATATAGTACATATTTTGCATATTTTCCATTCTTTGGCCATCCCTTAATAAAACAATGGAATCTTTGGTGATGTTGCACATCAGATTTCTATAAATAGAATCCTCTTGCTTTCCCACCGTCTTCTGATTTTCTAGTTCCGTCTCTTCCTCTAAGTTGGTTATTTGGTTTTAATTTGGGTCAGGTTAAGGATGTCTTGTATGTGTTGTCTGGTTGGTGGAGTTTACTGCTTATTTTTTTTATCTTTACACTCTCTTTTTACTATCAGAATCTTTGTACAGATTACCGTTTTCAGTCTTTGCCTTTATGTTAAATCTATTGTTTTCCCTAGAAACCAGTCTTCTGGTTGCATGCACATGTATGTACATGGTTGCATGTGAGCACACGGAGACCAGAAGAAAACACTGGGTGTCACTCTCAAGAATCCCACCCACCTTCTTCCAAACAGATTCTTTCATTGACCCAAAACTCAGCAGTTTGGCTAGGCTGGCTGGGAAATCTCAGGGGTCTTCCTGTTACCATTACCCAGTGCAGGGGTTACAAGAACACGCCACCTCGGTCAGCAGCTTTAAGTGGGTTCAGGGGAATCACAGGCCCTCGTGCTTCCAAGGCAAGTGCTGTATGACAGACCCATTTCCCCAGGTCCCCAACCATCTTTTGTTTAGAACTTTTATTGAGATTTTTATATTCTTCAATGATATAATTCATGTAAATTGGATTACAGGGTGCTCTGTGTTTCCTATGTACCATGTGCTGTATAGAGTTTATATAGTTGGGAGAATGTAGTTGAGGTAACTCTTTTTTAATTTTATTTATGATTTTTAAATTTTTATGTGTATGAGTGTATTGCTTGCATGTGTGTAAGTGCACTTGTGCTGTGCAGTGCTCGAGGAGGTTGGAAGAGGCCATCGAATCCCCTGGAACTGGAGTTACAGATGGTTATCAGTCATCATGTGAGTGCTGGGAATTGAACCCAGGTCCTCTGCAAGAGCAGTCAGTGCTCTTAACCACTGAGTCATCCCTCCATCCCTAGTTGTGGTAACTCTTAATTTGAACTTTCTTTTTAATTAATTTATTTATTTATTATTTATTTATTTATTTGAGACAGGGTCTCATGTGTCGCCCCAGCTGGCCTGGAACTCCCTATGTAGACCAGGCTAGCCTCAAACTCACAGTGATCCATCTGCCTCTGACTCCCAGGTGCTGGGATCAAAGGTGTGTGCCACCAAGCCCAGCCTGAACTCTCTTCATTAATCCTGACTTAAGGATTGTCTGAGAGGTCTTTGTAGACTTTAGAACTGACATACGTGTCTTCCATGTTGGCCCACACACACTTAATATCTCACTGTTGTGACGTTTGTGGATGTTCTTGAAGGAGGTCTTCCCATTGTGTGGTGATGAGCAGCACCCCTTATCTTTACTGCTGAAGATGTGCTTATTTTTCACTCCCATCCCTCACGGGTCCCGTCTCACTGATCATTTTTCTGTGGAGTTTTCTTCTTCTTCTGAGCTTAGGATCTGGGTATTTTCCTAGAGTGAAGGGATATAAATATTTATGTTTATGACACTCTTGATAAATAAATGTTGCATAATTCCTTTCCACAAGAGTGTTATCAGTTAATATTCCCAGAAAAATCAAGAAGTTGGGTATTTATAGAAGTGTTCAAGAGCTCTAGCTGATTTTGTTTCTTGTTTGACTTTCCCATGTTTTCCTTTAAAGCTACAGAGTTCTCTCTCCTCCCCCTCTCCTCCTTCCCCTCTTTCCCTCTCCCTCCCCCTCTCTCCCTCCCCTCTCCCCATCCCAGACCAGGGACTAGTGATGACACAGGATTATTATTCTCCACACCATCTTGATGGGAACACTGTGGCATAAAGTCTGAGGTTCTTCAGATGATGCAGAAGATAATTTTAATTAGTATGTGGTATTTGATGAGATTGATTTACATATTAAAAGTGATGCTCTGTTTTCAATTGCTTTTCTTTCCTCTCTTGAATTAGATGAAGGAGAAATCTTCAAAGTTGAGCCAACCCCTCTTCAACAGCCCTCTCCCTGGTCCCAACCCCAGTTCTTTCCCTGGGCAGAGTTTCTAGCTCGAGTTGGTGAATTGTACCTTCTCTCCAGTATGTCTATGATTATGTTCCCTTCTTTTTCTAAATGTGATATTAATACTTCATGTAAAATAATGATATAGAGTTTCCTTTGTCGAACACATTTATCTAATTAAAAAGTTGTAACCCTCTGGGCTTGAGAGATGGTTCAGTGGTTAAAAGCACTAGCTGCTCTTGCAGAGGACCTGGATTTGGTTCCCAGCACCCACATGGCGGCTCACAGTTGTCGGTAACTCCAGTTCCAGGAGATCCAAAGCCACCTTCTGGCCTCCATAGGCATTGCATGACACAAGTACACTTACATACATGCAGGCAAAACACTCATGCACATAAATACAAACAACTAAACATTTGTTTTTAAGTTGCAACCTCTGATAATGTTACCACAGTGACTGAAGTTGGAAAATACTTTCTGGGGATGTGTTCCAAAGGTTACCCACAGTAACAACATGCCCATTGGTTAGTTTTTATCACCTTGACACAAACTAGAAACACCTGGGAAAATGGAACTCCCACTGAGGAATTCCCTCCATCAAATTGGCTTGTGGGCATGTCTGTAGGACATTTTCTTGATGACTGATTGATGTAAGAGGGTCCAGCCCACTGCAGGCAGTGCCGGCCTGTGGGCCTGGACTGTCTAAGAAACCTAGACAAGCAAGCGAGCCAGAGGATGCAAGCCAGAAAACAGCATTCCTCCATGGCCTCTGCTTCAGCTCCTGCCTCCAGGTTCCAGCCTTGAGTTCCTGCCCTGGTTTCCCTCCATGACAGACTGTATAGTGTAATCTGAAATAAACCATTTCCCTCAGAAGTTGCATTTGGTTGTGGTGGTATATCACAGCAACAGAAAGCAGTCTAGAACAGCAAGCCGCTTGAGAAACCACTAGCTCAGGGCTGGAGAGATGGCTAAGAGCACTGACTGCTCTTGCAGAGGACCCAGGTTTGATTCCTAGCACCCACAGAGCAGCTAACAACCATCCCTAACTCCAGTTACAGGGGATCCAACACCCTCTTCTGCTCTCCTTGGGCACTGCATGCACATGGGGCATTTTCATACACGAAGGCAAAACACTCATATACATAAAATTGAAACAATAGAAGAATTGTTGCAAGAAAAAGCAAAATAACTACTTCTACCTCTTTGTGATGCCTGAAAGGGCTTGGAACTCTGTGATTGCCATTTTATCCCTGTTCCTCTATTTTTCCATGAAGTGACTCACTTCATGTCCCCTGTTTTTCTGACCGGGTAAGTACTCTACCTACTTGGCAAATTAAAAATGGCATAAACAGACACTGAAGAATATGTCTATAAAGAGAGTGATTTGGAAGGTGGTGCTGACTGGCTTCATGATAGTCATTGCAAATCATGATGTTGGCTTTTGTGTGATTCTAACAATGTACTTAGTCTCACTAAGGAGTTTTGATGGAATACAATCCACAATATTCAAACAGCTGTGCATGTCACAGCAGAACCTGGGTATCTCAGGGCAGGCTGACACCTTCTTTCTGTGGAAGATTTTAATCCTTTGTTCTTGTTTGCTCTTTCAGGATATATTTAAATTTGCAAGGACATCTCCTGTCCCAAGGCAAAAGAGATCCATTGTGGTATCTCCTATCTTGATCCCAGAGAACCAGAGACAGCCCTTCCCAAGAGATGTCGGCAAGGTAAGTCAGACAAATGACACAGTGCATTTCTATTCAGGGATGAGCATGCACAAGGCTGACTGTGACAGGCGTGGTGACTCTGTGGAACTGGTTTCAATTCCTGCATGGTAAGAGGCCAAAATGATTTGTTAAGGCAAGAATTTCCAGGATCATAAAAAAGGATGGGAAAAACCAGCAGCTGTGTATATCAGGACTTTGAAATCCACGTGGTAGAAAATCATTGTGAAGTGCGATGGTGCGATGTCATCAGCTAACAACCAGAGTCTTTGTCTTTCTAGCTAAGGCTTGGTGACTGGCTGACAGCCATGTGTTGGTGTGTGGCTTTATTGAAATCTCACTTGTTGAATGTCTAGGTCCAAGGACACTGTTGGGTCAACTTTCTGAAAACAAAACCAGACCACAGGAATTCAACCAGACTAACTGGATCCAGAAACACTTGTGTGACTCTTAACAGTAACAGCCCCAGGAGGAAGCAGCCATCGGTAAATGGGCCGCAATTCTGATGGTGCCTTAAGTCCAAAAACAAAATTTCAACAAATTGAGTTTAATGATCTCACTGGTTATTATTGTTGATTCAAGTATCAGGCTGCTTTCTAACTGTGAGATGGAAGGGAACTCGGCTGAGTGGGGCAGCAGGGACTGCATTAAATGAAGAGGAGGATGAGCAGGGGGAAAATGGATGGGTTGTTGAAAAGCCAGTTACCTAAAGGGTCAAAGCGGACGGTCTTCTTTGGCCCACGGGCTCAGGTGCACTGAGCAGCGTATGGTTGGTTGCTGTGAATGTCCTGTTTTGTCAGAAAACTGACCCAATTTAAATACTCTGATTATGCGACTCCTGGCTACTTAGTGACTCCATTTTGTATGCTCTCTCCTAATGCAAGACCCTCATTCACAACAAAGACCCAACTAAATCATATGTCAGCAATCAGCAATATCTTCTGTCCCCATAGAAATATCAACGTGGAGAGTCAGCTTTTAACCACCTTGTATTTCTTTGTTTGTTTGAGACAGGCTCTCCCTGTCTCCCCAGCTGACCTTGACCTCGCTATGTATTCCACACTGACCTCCATCTCACAGAGATCCATGCCTGTCTCTGCCTCCCGAGTGAATTCAAGGCATGCGCCACCGTGCCTGGTCTCCTTTTGTATTTCTTGTCGAACCTTGAGTTTGGACATGGTTGCTTCATTGAATGAATGATCTCAGTGCAGGGGGTATTGGTTTAAAAATTCATTAAGTTAAAATGAAGTACCTGTTTCATCCCGCAGGCCAAGCTTAGGACTTGGTAAATACAGCTGTAACGTCAGACAATGGAGTCTAGTGAGGAAACAGACATTTCCAAAGTAAATAAACAAGAAAATTACAGAGTATGACTAGGACCATGCCAAACAGAAACACAATGATATGAGAGAGAGAACTAGAGCAAAGGACACAGCTGGGGAGGGCTGGAGGGAGGACCAGGGCATCACACGGGTGGCTGACGGCTGACTGGAGTCTGTGCTGTCTGAGAGGAGGCCGGAAGGATGAGGAAGACCAGCCATGGGACTATTAGGTACACAGCGTCTTGGCAGGAGATGTGTGTTTTGAGGCCCAAGGTGAGAAAGGATGGGGTTCCTGTGAGGAGCAGACCCTGGGGGGCTGTAGGTCAGGGAGCCGGGGAAAGTGTGGCTGAACATGAATGAGGGGGCCTGTCTTAGAGGCACTGTGAGCACTGGGTTTTATTCTGGAAGGTCTCCCAAAGCAGAGTGTGCTAGTGCTCACTCTGGCCGTGTTTTTGAGAATGATTACGGAAACCAAGTGGAAGAGAGGAGTGAGAACAGAGAGACTAAGGGGTTTGGTGAGTTGAGCAAGAGGTAGGGATGACTTGGCCTATTAGAGATCTATTCCTATTGGATATTAGAAGTAGTACTAACCATGCGGCTGGAGAGATGGCTCAGCAGTTAAGAGAACTGACTGCTCTCGCAGAGGAACTGGGTTCAGTTCCCACCACCCACATGACAGCTAACAACTGTCTATAACTAGAGTTTCAGGAGATCCGATGCCCTCTTTTGGTCTCTGTGGGCATTGCATACATGTGGTACACTTGTATACATGCAATGAAAACATATATATACATAAATTAAAATATTTTTCTATTTATTGTTATTTATTTTTTAAAATAAGTAATTTTTAAAATTAATAAAAGAAGTAGTAAACTAGAGAGATGGCTCAGTATTTAGTAGCACAGACTGCTCCTGCAGAGGACCCTGGATCATTTCCCAGCACCCACACGGTGGCTGACAACTGCCCATGGACTCCAGCTCCAGGGGATCCAATATCCTTTTCTGACCTCCATGGGCATTTAACAACATGGGTGCACTTACACACAGGTAGGCAATAGACTCATACACATAAAATAAAAATACTTAATTTTTTAAAGAGATATAATAATAAATATTCTGATGACCACTTTTTTTGTCTAAACTGTCATTATACCAAAGATGACTCTCTTTTCACAAATGCGTCCTGTGACAAGTAGAAAACAGCTGCTTGGGATGGACAGAGGGGGGCTAGAACTAGCCCTTGGACAGCCCTGACCCTGTCATTCCGATTCTTCATTTGCCTGTCAAGGATTCTGTTTGCCCAGTGACTAGAGTCTCCACATCTTTGAGGCTCAGGCCCTGAATAGTTCAGGAGACCCAAGTTAGACCATAATGAAGTAGGGGAGACAGGCTGCTTTATAAAGGAGCCCTATGTCAGCTCATGGTTGTGAAGAAGGAGGGCCGAGAGGTGCCATCTGTTACTGAGTTCTTGGCAGAGTTCTGAGGGGCACAGGAAGTCATTGGCAGCACACATGTACATGTGCATCTGTCTAGGCTTTGTCTCTGTCTCTGTCTCTGTCTCTCTCGCTCTCACTCTCCCTGTGTATATTCTGGGATGTGCAGACACACAGTTGTACATATGAGGGACAGCGCATATGGATGTGTGTGCAGATGTATGCGTGCATGTGTACATGCGTGTGGAGGCCAGAGGATAACCTTGGCTCCTGCTCCTCAGGCGACTTGGTTTTTTGAAACAGAGTCTTTCATGGCCTGGACCTCACCAAGCGGGCGAGGCTTCCTGACCAGTGAGCTTGGGGAAGGCTGGGCTGCCTGGCCAGTGAGCTTGGGGAAGGCTGGGCTGCCTGGCCAGTGAGCCCCAGGATCCACCTGTCTCTACCTCCCAGCCACTGGTATTATGCTTGCACAGCACATCAGCTTTGTTTTTTAAATGTGTGTTCTGGGACTCGAACTCAGATCCTTGTGTTCAGGAGGCAAGCCCTTTACTGACTGAGCCATCTCCCCAGCCTCTGTCTCCTTATCACCACCAGGACTTGATTATGGAAGTCCTACCCTAGCGATCTTATCCAATTCTAATCCCCTTCCACAGGACCACCTCTAAATACCATCGTCAAATTGTTTCTACCTATTTAGTGTCTTGTGGTAGGATTTGCATTTCACACATGGTCATGGGGGCAGTCCTGTAAAAGCCGCATCCAAACCGTGGAAGGGCCCACGTTGTATCCATCTTTCTTAGGTTTCCCTGCAGGGAATCGGTACTTTTCAACTGTTTCTATGCGTCAGAATTCCAAGATACACTTCACACAGATGCTGGGGACCTGCCCTCACAGACAGAGGCACATGGCCAGTGGGTGAGAACTGCGTGTTAGGATTATCTAAGAGATCCCAGGGGAGTCTGGTATGTACCCAGTGTGAGGTCTCCTGGGCGTTATACCACTGTGAACCACAGTACCAATTCCCCATGTGTGTGTGTGTAAGTATATATTTTGGGGTCCCACCTCAGTCACTAAACCAGAAATTCTTGGGTAGAGGCCAGGAAACAGCTTTTAGAATTTTAAAGCAGGCACCTCTAATGCTCACCAATTGGCTCCCACTGTTCCCACTTTAGTAAACTTCCTCATGTAGCTCTCTATGTCTTATCCTTTGGTATGTGTCAGCCCATTACACCTAATTGTGATGCTCTTTTAAAAAGAGCACCCATTCACAGGAGCATGTGTCCTAGCTTGCTTTATGTTGCTATGATAAGACACTGACCAAATGCAACTTGGGGAGCAGAGGGTTTATTTGGCTTACAGGGTACAATCGATCATGGACAGAAGCTAAAGCAGGTACTCAAGGCGGAGAACCCAGAGGCGGGAACTGAAGCAGAGACCATGGAGGAGTACTCATCACTGACTGACTTCCCCTGGCTCGGTCAGCTCCCTTTCTTAGACAGCCCAGGCCCATCTCCCTGGGGATGGCACCACCCACAGTAAGCTGAGCCCTCCCATATCAACTATCAGTTAGGAAAATGCCCCACAGACGTGGCCACAGCCCAGTCCAATGGAAGAAATCCCTCAATTGAGATTCCCTCTTCCAAGGTTTGTCAAGTTGACATCTGAAGCCCGACTATGACACATGTCATCCCATGGAAGAGGGTGCCAGCTGGGGTGAGCAGCCCCTGCGTGTATCCGCTAAGAGCAGCAGCAACGCAAAGCTCGTCCCTGTGCTAACCCGCTGTGTGACTTGGCTGATTGCCTCATCCTTCAGTGTCACACCCCTCTCCTTGATGCACTGAAAGATGATCCCCGTGGAGCCTAGTCATGACAATTCAGTATAATAAGTGGAAAGAGCTTAGTATAGTCCAGAGAGACGGTGAATAGATCCTGGAATTTTTCACACTTCTCTAATCCTAGAAGATCAAGGATCCTGTCTGTTTCCTTTGCCACTGAGTCCCCAGATCCTCCCACAATGCCTTATAAATAGCAGGTACTCAAGTACTTGTATGCTGACATGAACTGGTTGAATTTCAGAGACTTTTCCTCCTAGGATGCCTGAGTGTTTATTCATAGAGGCCCAGTGTAATGGAGGAACACAAATAAGTTAACTCAGGAAATGAGATGAGAACAGAGGATGAGATGGACAGAGATAACCTGGGCTGTAATGCAAAGTATTTATATCAGGTTAGTGATGGGGCAGAATCCA